AACTTAACGATGAAGTAAGATCTATATTGTGTAAATTAAACTAGGGAAGGGGGTAAAATTTTGTGTTTTCCCTAATATTTTCCTTCTTATGGAATAATTTATAATAACTTAGAATAATTATAATAGTAATAACCTTTATTGCTGATACATTTTATCAAATGTTACAATGCAATTTATTTATAAAAAAAAACAGTACAATTCATTAATAAAAATATGAAATAACCATTCTTAAATTAAATAATAAAAATAATACTTAGTTTAAATTGGCATAGCTTAAATTTTGAGGTAGACTCTTGAGTATTAATTTTCAATTAAAGAAAATTAATACTCGAGAGTCTACTTCAAATCTGCCATCTACGTACTTTTATGTAACTAAAATGCGGCTTAGTGACAAATGGTCAAATAACCATTTTAAATAGCAATAAATAGACCACAAAATTCTCTTTAAAAAAGAGTTAAAATTAGTTAACATGTTCGATTCATCGGAACTTACCCTAACGGTGCATAGCTGTAATATCATCAAACAATTTCAATATTTTAAAATTGGGTTATAGTTTTTTATGATATCTCAAATAATAAATTTCTCACTTAGCCACATTTTAGTTAGCCGATGGCAGAACAGTCATTAAAACCTAAAACATTTTTACGAAATGGTGCTATCACCCTTTCTACTCAACACCAACAATATATCCAGCCCAATGCCATTTTAGCTTCCTGATGTAGTTCTTAACATCCGGTACCATTGTTCCTGTTTTAATATAGTCCCATAGTTTATTAATTGGCATCTGATTAATCATATTTAAATATATGCTGTAAAAGTAGCAAAGTCTAAAGTCAAAGAATCAGTCATTCAATAGGTAACATAAATTTACACTTGAAAACGTCACATTTAAGCTACTGCTCGTTCACTACGCTAACTTCTTTGAGAAGAACGAGCAGGAAACTCTAGGGATTGCTCTTTTCAAATAAACTTAAATGCTATGGAATACACTTCGAATAAATTTTGTGTGGAATCTAGAGCCATGTTTTTGTTTCCATACATCTTTATCTTAATACGTAGTCTTCAATTTTCTAATTTGACTTTTCAATCAAAATATTTTTAATGTAGTTTTTTAACTTAGGAAATGATAATCTTAATATATGCCCCGGAATCTTATTGTAAAAACGTGTACAGTTCCCCATAAAAGAGTTGTTTACCTTGGTTAAACGAAATTGTGGTACAATGAGTTTGAGCAAATGTACTGTGATACCACAGTCATCATAGCTGTAAGCTCCTCTAATATAATAGCACAAACTTGTAGCCCAGAACAGGGCGACATTTTTACCATTGTGATTAAAGAATTCTGACTATAAATTTTCAGTCTTCCAAGCATCATGGTGGTATCAGAGTCGTCCCAGCCTCCAGTGGAGGGAGATACGGCAGGAGCTAGCAAGAAGGCAGCCAAGAAAGCAGCCAAGGCTGCCGAGAAACAGCAGAAGAAAGCTGAAAATAAAGTAAGCAGTAAAGATTTATCCTTTCCGGAGATGTGACGCTTTCAGTCAATAATGTTACAGATGAATATAAAATACTGTGATTTGGAAAATTAGTCCTATTAGTTAGGGCTATTGGTTGTTCAGTATTTTTTATAAACTTCATATAAAGGAGAAGGTTCTCAATTTGACTGTATGTTTTTTTATTTTGTATGTATGTTACACAAGAATTCTGGCGTCTGTGAACCGATTTTGATGATTCTTTTTTGTTGGAAAGCCTCCATATTGGTCCCATTTCATTTTGAAGAAAATCATCCACCTCTAAGGGTGGCTGATGACGCATGAACATTCATTTTTTAAAAATAAGAAAGAGGGCACCTCAGATGTGATTTAAATTTGAAGACAATGTTCCAACCTCTAAGGGTGGCAAACGGTTTTTTTAGTATTCTGTACTGAGATTATTGATTTGAGATTCTTATAATATCTAAAAATTGTTGCTGGTGTTAGGGTTCTATGTACAGAACATGGCTGATTAAGTATTTAACATTTAATTACATTAAAATTACTACCAATGGGATTTGAATAGACCGGAACATATCATGGAGCAATTTTCCAACTAGTACTTGAGTTCCTTGTGAAAGTGTTCGTCCTGTCCTCCCACCTTACCTATTTCTGCCGTCAAGTAGTAATCTGCGCATTACTGCGTTCTGGTTTTGATGGATCAGGGTGCTGGTGAAATTGCAGACACCAGTAACTTGTCAACTTACGTCTCAAGGTGACGGACGCAGTGGCATTGCCCTTCAAATTTTTGTGATTAAAGCTCTGAGTGCCACTGTAACTGCTATATAGGCGTGTCGCTTACCACCAGGCGCGCGACTCTTATACCGTCAAAATGGGGCTTTTCAGGTGGATTGTCTGTTTGCATGTTGTACACCTTAAATAGTATATTATTGCAGAGACCGTGAAGTAAGGAATTGCTGGACGACTTAAGTTGTATTAATACGAGTCAAGCAATCCCTGTTCCCACCGAGGCATGTATAGAATTTTTCTCAAACAATGTGAGGAAATAATAAAAGACTAAAGAGAGGAAGATGTATAATAGAAAAAGTAAAAAAAAAATATTAATTAATATTAAAAGGAATATTTGACGTGTTAGTAGGGCAATTGCTAAACGAAAATGTTATTGTTTTTTCAGGCAGATTAATAATTGTAGTCTGCTGAAATTCTGATGATGTGTTTGAATGTGTATCTGTTACTGTATTTTCGTTATCGCTCTTCTCACTAGCACTCATTTTCGCGACCGAAATCATTGACCTACCAACAAATGGACATCGGGTCTAATACAAAAACCACGAAAAAAATGTCCGAGGTTAACCTATACAAACGTAGTGACATGTAACGAAAAATAAAAAACTAAAACATTTAATTTAAATTGTGACGTCATTGCAGTACTGCCTAAATTTGCTTACAGCAATTTAAGGGCCCAAAAACACTATATTTAGCTTCTACTGGAAACTTAACAAAATGCACCATATTTAGCTTCGACTTAAAATATATTTGTTTAGTGAAAATATGATACAAAATCCTGTTTTCACACTTTACTGCAATAATTTTTACAAGTTATTATTTGTACTGCATATATGGGTACCGCATGATTGACAACCGCGCTGTCACTCGAACAAACGAAGACTACTGCGCGATTGACGCTCTGTATGCGATTTTAACGCCCTACAGGTGCGGACACTTAAGCGCGAACCCGACGTTCATTTATTGGTAGGTCAATGACCGAAATACAAAAAAGACGAAAAACTAAAGAATACCAAAACACTTTATTTCAAATTTTATCCTCATTTTCTGTTTTTTTTAAGTAAGCGGTATAGGTAGGTATTTTTAATTCTCGCAGTTATGAACACTGGGCAGTTGGCTGTATGAGTTTTTCTTTTGCCTGTTTACATAGTTCATTATAATCATGGACCTATATAGGTCCATGATTATAATGAGGTAGATTTAAAAGTTTAGAGAAGAGGACAGTAATAGATTTTCATACTTCTTTGCAGGCCTAGGCCGAGAAGAAGTCGCATAGTCCATAAAAGACAAACTTTCCGTGATCGTTTTTTGAAAGTAATGCAAACATTTCCGAGCATGTTTGAGAATATTTTTAAAACTACAAAATATTCCATTAAACTTAACTTTTCAGGCGGCATCGGCCCAATCTCAAGAAACATCAGAACCAGACATCTCTGAAGGCCGATATGGAGTACTCAAGCTGATCCAGTCGTCGGGAGAGAACAGGGAACGTGTCTACACTGATGTAAAAGACCTTGGTGTCAAAATGGATGGACAGACAGTTTGGGTTAGAGGTTGGTAACATAGAGATTGATAGAATTTAACTTCAGTTTAGCCGCTGGACTTAAACAGAATAACCTCCTAAACGAGTGCGATGTCTACTCGGTATCGGCAACTGTTTACCCAACAAATAATATTGAAAAAACGCTCAATTACTTAACTTGAGTCCGTTACTAAAGTAACTAAAAAAAGGAACTAAACCAAAGTAACTAAAGTAAGTAATAAAAATTTGGTTAAAACCAACCACAGACGACTCGATACCCTTTCGCCTCGTACACAATTCCGCACAGCACACCTGGTATATTCCTTTGCTTTAAATTAAAATCTATATTGCATTATTTCGCCTTGAATAAATTAGAATGTAAAAAGACCGTCAAATTCTGGCTTAAGAGAAAATCTTACAATGAAACAGAGGGCTTGCTGGAAGTTGTTTCATAATTATTTTTATATAGGTTAATGATTTATAGCTACTAATTATTTTATTGTTAAATATACAAAATCTCTTTTTAAGCTGTAATATAAAGAAAAAGTTACCCAAAAAGATGCCTAAAACGCAGGTTCAAGTGAAGGTACAGGTGAAGTCATTCAAAGGCAAACTAGAGCAAAAATTATGAATCTTTTATACCAACAACCTACAACCTCGTTGCCATAAAGTAATTTATAAGAATATCCGTTTCAACATGTGTTTAATTATTTACAATAAATTACCAAACGAGATTAAATTGTTACATACTTTTAAATTACAATAGACAAAATGCCTTTTGACACATTGCTTCTATAGTAATAAAGAATACTTAGAATTTACAAATTCATTTCATTAATTAGAAACTATGGAGACTAAACATTAAATCCCATCAATACTTGCACATCTGCATGCAGGGTGAATACAATGTACCTCATTTTACTTAAGACCTATGTAATTACTGCAGTGTACGCGATTAAAAAAATAAGGAAACTTTCAGACGTCGAAACCGCTAGATTGGTTTACTTCAGCTACTTTCACAGTCTAATGACATACGGCATTTTGCTTTGGGGTAATGCCGCCGATATCAACAGAATCTTTGTCCTGCAGAAACGTGCAGTTAGGGCAATTTACAATCTGGGCCCCAAAGTATCTTTGAGAGATAAGTTTAAGGAAATTAACATTCTTACACTAGCCTCACAGTACATTTATGAGAATGTAATTTATGTTAAAAGGAATAGTAATTTATTTATGAAAAATAGTGACAGACGTAACATTAATACGAGGAATAGAAATAAACTAGCTTTTCTTGATAGTCGTCTTCATAAAGTCAAAAAATCATTTAAGGGGCAATGTATACGCTTCTATAACAAGATTCCGGTTGATATACAAAATTTGCCTTACACGAGGTTTAAAACTATAGTGAAACAAAAACTTTATACTAAAGGTTATTATACAACTTCTGCGTACTTGGATGATAAAAATCCGTGGTAGTAACCCGTTTAGCTCATGGAGGTAGTCTCGATCTCTGATGTTTCAAATAATAAAAAAAAATATTGTAAATGTTATTTACAAAGAGCAAGCCCTAGAGTTTCTTACTCATTCTTCTCAGGGGAATCTGCCTTACGAATGAGCGGTAGAGTTTAATATTGTGACGATTTCAAGTGTAATAATGCTTACCTATGAAATAAAGATTATTTTGAATTTGAATTTGAATTTGAACTGTATTCTGGCAAATAAACGTATTCTATTCTATTCTATTCTACACATTTACTTAGTTTAGGCATCGCTTTACTATGAAGAATGTATAGTTTAGATTCCATTCTTAATTCTTATTTTAATACTATAATAGGTTTTTTTACATATGTTTTACTTGGTAACCTATCACGAACTGAAATTTATTGTTTTCGAAACAACGTTTGTTCGAATTTTCATTACACCTAAAAGCGAATTATAACGAAACCGTTGTTCCTTCAGAATATGTTGGATGTTTATCGCAAAGACACGATTAGGTTCGGTTAAACAATCATACGTGTTTATTAAAATTTTATTGTATTGATATTCAATTATTTTTGTGAAATTACTCCACTAGTTTGTTATAATTATTAATACAAAGATCGAATACTTACAAAAAAATCCTTCCATCCAGTCGGATTCGAACCGACGTCTACTAGCATACCGTGTCAGACGCTATACCAACTAAGCTAAGCTAAGATTATTAGCATAGATAGGAAAATTTATATTTTCTGATTAACTGATTTTCTACTATCATGATATTCAATTATATTTTGTGAAATTACTCCACTAGTTTGTTATAATTATTATTAATAATAAATTAGTGTTTATTATGATTATAATGATTCCAAGACTGGATCAACTAAGACTTTGTAACGATGGGGCACTAAAGGTATGGTCCCATACAAAAAAATACATATTTTATTTTATTCCTACTAAACTATTAGATTTATGGCAAAATGTGATATGGCAATATTTAATTAGGACAATAGGATCTCTCGATTCGCATTTTTTTAGAGAGGTATCGTGAAAAAGTAATCCTTTGTCCGCAATATCGCAGATCCGACCCACTGTGCGTAGCAAAGTTAAGATAAATATAGTGTAACTGCCTGTCCCCAATTACGTAAATTTTTAATGTTCCTAAGTGATTTTCTGAATCCCGAAAAGGTCCTAGACCTAAAAAATATTGTCGTAAGGCAGCCTACATTTTCTGTCTATGTACCTCGAAGTTCAGGTAAAAAACTCCAAATATTCTGATCCCTGAACTAATATCACAAAAAATAATTGAATGTCATGGTAGTAAAAAATCGTAACACTCAACCAACTTAATTGCAATTATTGAAGCGCCATCTCTAGTCAGTTGCTGGTAAAGGACCTGGCTGAGCGAAGAAATTGATTTCTCATACATGGCACTACGGCAAAAAAGTCGTTAAAAATCAAAAATAAAGATCTGTATAGAAAAGAATAAGAATAAGAATAAGAATACTTTATTGCGTAAGCACCGAGACACACATGATCTTAAAATTAAAATAGAACATTATAAACTTTAAACTAAAATACAGGACTTACAACAAAAGTTAAAACATAATTATAATGATTAAAACAAAATAAAAAAAATTAAAAATGTAATAATAAATGCGTGTCGCGGCGCACGCAAACGGGATTTGCTCAGCTATTAGCTACAGGCTCATAGATTTCAGCATGTAGCGCTGGTTTTCAGCAAGCCCGATATGAGTGAAGCACGGACTCGAGCACAAACAAAACAAATACGCATAGAAAAGCGCATAGAAAAACTCGTAAGGTCTCTTTATTCGTTCCGTGGCTTAGTTGGCAGAGATTGATGGAAGGCGCTGGTTCGAATCTAGTCGGATCGACCGAATTTTTTGTAGTGTCCGTTCTTTGTATTAATAATTGTAAATTTTCTTTTAACATTTGCAGAAATTTTTCCATAAATTCAAATTTTTATGAAATATTAAATATATTGTCATATTATTGAAATTTCAAGTGTAACTCCTATCAACAATAGTGCGTTTCAGAATACAGCTAACGCCATCTATTGGCAACTAGGTTAAATTAGTTGAAATGAAAGTTTGTAAAGTACATTCCTCAAAGAGGCGCTACCACACTCCTGTAAAATGTTTGAATTAAGAATTTAGACAACCTCAAATGGCTCTGGTTTATTCCGCATAACAGTGTATCACTTTGGAAAAATATTATAGTAAAATTAATATGTGATATACTGATTACTATATGGTGCGAAAACCTTAGAATAATAACGCATAGAATGATAGTTTCATATCAAACGAACTGTCACAAGTGAGGCAAAAATTAAATTCATGTAGGCTACTTTTTAGTAGTAGGTTAATTTTCGGTTTTAGTGAATATTTATATAAAAATACAAGTTGACGCGTTACTTCCTTGTGGAATGTGATGTTAGTATCTATTTTATAATTGTCTGACGTATTTTTACACTCATTTACCGCACATTTCGTCATTTTTAGCTAAAATTCTTGATCTGTTCGCGGTGCAAGTTGACCTTGAGCGCTGAAGGCCCGCCCGCTCGTGTAGGCCCTTTGGGAGCGCTTCAATTTGCCTCACTTAGCGTGTGCGGGCGAGGTTTCTATGCGTTATTATTCTAAGGTGAAAACACGATTCCTTAAAATTTTCACGATAGAAAAAAAACACAAACTTACGTCGATATTTTACAAGAAAACCGCTGTATTCAATAGGTACCTACTTTACATATGCCAATTATTCTTTTTTTATATCAAATGAACTAAAATAGAATATGTGTACTATTCGATAAGCATTTCTCAAATAGCTTTAATTTCGATTGTAAACAAATAAAGCCAGAGTCCCTACCGCTCTCGTATTAGTACGAGAACAATTGAAATTCGAGCTTACGTAGTATCGACTCTTAAATATTGAAAGAGTTTGTTTAATTATTCAGTTATTTTTTTTATTGAAGCCGCCATTTTGAAATTTGTTTCTTTCAAGCCCGCCTGCAGACGTCTCGCGCTAAAGGCAAGCAGTGCTTCGCGGTATTACGTCAGAGCTCAGCGACAATGCAGTTACTGATCAGCGTCAGCGAGGAGCGTCGCGTCAGCAAGCAGATGGTCAAATTCACTGGCAAGTTAGTATCACACGATATTTATAGTCCATTTCACATAGCACGGGTACGGTGACTTTTTTTATTACGCTTTTTGGCTTGGATACAAGTCCTTAGAGCCATATCTTCTTCATTTAGTTTTCGGAAGCCTGCGCCACAGTCAATTATAGCTGTGGCTTATGCGTGGCGTACGCTACCACCGCATATCTGACAGTACAAAATTTGTAGTCGTTATACACTTCCGGACGCATAATTCGAGTCACCACGCATTTTCAGTATTAAGTGCCCTAAGCTTAAACAATGTTTTTCAAATTGATCAAAAACTATTATGCAATTTTGAAACTAGTATACTAAACGTCTTTTCCATAAGTCCTTGTTGGGAATTTGGATTTGCAAAACCGGGGAAAACTTTTTCTTCCATGATAACACTATTTTTGTATTCTAGCCCTTTACGAGAAAAATGCGACGTGTCTCGATTACGGTCCGGGACTACATTTTGTTTTTTGCTTTTTGTCAGATTTTTCTCATTATATGTTGTTTTTTATTGTATTTTTTATTTTGTTTATTAATTCTTTTTGTTTTGTTTTGTTTTGTTTGCCTGTGTTATTTATGTATTCTTTTTCATTTAATTCACTTTAATCCACTTGCTAATAAAATACGTTGAATTTTGAACACAGCTTAGTAGGTCATTCTTCTTCCATCACATTCGGCTTTTATATCTGTCTTCCAGAAACTCTTCTTAATTGAAATTGAAAATTTTAAATGTTTTAACGTCCTTTCACTTCAAATTCCCGCCTTTTTTTGTTTTCGGTACGGTGACGTTTGAGATTTGACGTTTCTAGAGAAGTGGTGATGTAAAATCGAATGAAAATAAATCGATTTAAATATCTCATCGAGATGGTTTATAACGAAGAGAGAATCGATTATTAGACTATAGTTTAAAAACAAAAAGGATTCAATTATTACGTTATTAAGTTCCTAAAAAACTACACAACAATTCAAAAAATCAACAACCACATCCAAACAAAAAGCATAAAATCAAAAATTTGACTATACTTTTAAAATAATTAATAACTATTGAACGTATAATGACTGTAAGTATTTCGTATTAATTCAATATAGAAATGTGGTGTCATTGTAAAAATTAATAATGTAGTACAATGTTATAAACTAATAAGCAATTTAGAAGTAAGTAAGAACTCTGTCTTCTGCAGTTGCTATGCCCTTGCAGGACGTCACATGTTAACAGCCCAACACTGTAACTTCTAAAATTAGCTAAGTATGTAGCATGCAATAAATTAATATGAATCAACAGCACGGAAACGAAAGAACAATGGGAAAATAGTTAAAATAATTATTTAGCGTCTTCATGTCTTCATGTCTTAATTAAAAGTTTGAATAAAATAAATAAATTAGGTTTTTCAAATTATAATAGCGGCCTATCTAAGTCTGGAAATAAAATCATATTTAAAAGAAACCTAATGACTAATTAGTATGTAACCGGATCGATATATGCAACTATCCGTTTCTTTACCTTGAGGGACATCTAGCCGCCAAAAAAGGAATTTCAGTACCTACATATGGATATCATCGAGTATATAAACAGAAATAGAGAGGAAATGTCATTTAATTTGTTTGAAAACTATTCTGCCAAATGACATCTAGTGGCAACTGCGCTCCGATAGGCCAGCCCGAATTTGAAATATACTTTAGAGATGGGCAAGCAAACATAATATTATCGAAACCGATAGTATATAAATACGGCATTGTAAATAACCATTACCTGTTTTTTTACCGATTTCGAATTGTGTAGTATTGTTAGAATCCATAGTCATTCCGAGTGAGCAGGAACTAAATGTATTTCTTACATATTCGTACGCATTGTCGAATAAAAACTCAACGTAAGAGCGAAACTCATTAATTCTGGCGAATATTTCTTTTTTACAATTTTCCCTGTTCTGTGTTTTAGATATTGACGTTGTACGATTTCGTCATTAAGCACACCAATTTTCTTTAAACTGTCGCCGTCTTTCGCTTTTATTATTTTTTTACCTTTAATTCTTTTATTATTGAATTATAAAGATACCATCCTCTTATTATAGTAACGTACCTTCTCTTGTAGTGCCTTAATTGTCATATTTTTACGCTTAACCTGACTTGTCAAAAACGCGGCTGCAAAGACGTTTTTTGGTCATTTTTTTGTATAAAAACAGTCTTCTGTAAAATGCCGATAGCAAACGACGTTGTATTTGTTTGGAAATCAGTTTTCCCTTTTCGTGGAAGCAATCCATTTTTCCCTAAGGCCCGGATCCTTAGGAAATCATCAAAAACAATACAAAAATAAGTTTTTTTCGATACCCACATATTTGAACAAAACAACTGACAGTACACAACACTAACTGCCCATGGGTCTACCCAAAACCCATAAACAGTCTGGACTCCTCGGGGACTTGGCACAATCACCACACTTGCAAGGTGAATAGGTGATCGCAGTATGTTAGTTGAGAAGACATCCATGGAAATATATGGGGTGATTATACTATAGTATTATACTAGGCCAATACCACACGGCCATAAGAAGTTTAATATATGAATATATTCTCAAGAAAAAACAATTTTCCTGAGCAATAAAAACGAACGACAATCTACTACGTAATAGTTAGTGTTTCTTGTGCATAATCTGATATACTTATAAAATCGATACATTATACTCATGGCTCAATACTTAACTACGACGACGTTAGATGTAGATTTTTTACTTTACCGATTGTTTAAATAAATCTAATGATTTATTCTACTGTACTGTATAATTACAGTAATAATTATACATGCAAATATCGATACACAATATGATTTTTTCAGTGCAACACTAGCAACGCGTGCCCAATGAATAGAATGAGATGACGTAATGGGAGTTGCATTAGGTGGAAGCAAGACGCATAAATGATTTGAAACAATTGATGTGTATTGTCAATTGTTTCACTGCAAATCGACCAGTTTCGAAAATTGAAAAATTACATATTTAATATTTAATTACCGATGGAATGTGATTCCGTTTGTTTTGTAATTAGATGTTTTGCTTTTTTCCCACACCACCAAATAGTACAGCACGGCATTGTTAGAGATATTATGTTTATTACAATAGATACAGAATATTTTTTGGAATATACGGAGACGTACACACAGGCCAGTAGTTGGCCTGTCTATATTACAGTGCAAACGAGAGTTGATATTTATAAGAGCTGTATCGCTAATGTGTTACCAGTGATACATGGGCCTTATTCGTCTCTGTTTCTGGTTATATACTCGATGATGATGGATATGGTCCACATTTAGTTCACGTAATATCAAATGTACTGATTCGACCGATTTGTAATCAGCTAATAAAATATTAACTACTTCATTACAAGAAATAATGTCGATAATTTCTTCTCTAAAATGCCACACGAGAAAATGGTAAAAACTGAGAAAAAAGTTCCCAAAATCAAGGATAGATGGCACATTTCACAAAAAAAATATTTGTGTTAGAGTTATCAGTGCAACTCAGTTTTTTTGTTATGGCTTAACTTCATGCCTTTTGACTTTGAAAATAATTTCCTCCGAACTTTCGTGACGTCACAAACCCACGGCACCATCTAGCTTCTATTGACTCTGTTTAAAACTTCTATAGTTTATTTTGATATAATAATACACCGAATATATTTTATTCAGTAACGTAATACATAACCTCCAAAACTTCAAACTGGAATATCTTTCATTCCTGACTTCTCAGAATAGTAAAACCAAAACAAAATTTGTTCAGAAAGTTCAACTCTATATTTTCACATAGTTTTCACCTTTTTTTTACTTACAAATGTTGATAAATAATGTTAAAAAATTATGTCAATAAAAATTTATATGTTTCTTGACTCAACGCTATCACATTCCAGTATAACTAAAGAATCGATAATAGACGTGCAAGGGACAGTAGTGAAGACAGCGTCTCCCATCGAGTCTTGCTCGATACGTGACGTCGAGTTACTCGCGAGCGAAGTTTGGACCGTGTCCAGTGCAAGATCTCAGTTGCCCTTGCAGATTGAAGACGCCGCTAGACCGGAAAAGAACGATGTGAGTCTGTCTCTCTGTCTCTCTGTATTTTTTTATGAGACTAAGTGACGGGAAAACAAGTCGCCCACTGGGTGATAAGGGACACGCCTGTTCATGACTGACCATGACTGTTTATATATGTAAAAAAATTGTGTCAGTAAGACGCAGAATGCTGGTGATACGCTGTTGGGTCTCCAACAGCATTCTGAGGACACTAGCCAAGAGACCGGTCAGTGCTTTGCAAAGACATTGGGTATCTCTTATATAATGTGTGTGATTTATATTGTTACAAACAGATTTTGTTTGTTACGTAAGTACTCACAAACACATATGAACTCTTTGTGATCTGAATAAATAAGATTTGAATTTGAATAACAATTGCAGTGCCACTCAGAGCTTCAAAGATTTGAGGAGCACTGCCAATGCGCCCGTCACCCTGACACATTTCTTTTTATAATATCAAGTGACGGGACGAAGAAGTCATGCTTCTGATGGTAAGCTACACGCCTGTCCATAACAGTTGCAGTGCCACTCAGAGCTTTAATTGGGCTACAGACCTAGTCAGTACATTTTACAAATTTTGTATTGGGTGTAAACTTATTACTTTCAAGTTCCCAATCTGCAAAACGGCCAGAGGTTTTTGTTACACCCTATAAATTGCCACAAAGGGTGCTGGTGAAATTACAGTGGGACTTGTCAACTTACGTCTCAGGGTGACGGGCGCAGTGGCAGTGCCCCTTGTGTGGATAATCTTTGCGATTGAAAGCTCTGGGTGTTATTCAAATTCAAATCTTATTTATTCAGACCACAAAGAGTCCATATGTGTTAGTATCTACTTAAAAACAACATACGAAATCTATGTTACTAACAATATAAATCACACACATTATATAAGACAGTAAAAAACACACAAATAATTAATTAATGAATTGAAATGAAATCTCTGAGTGGCACCGCAACTGTTATGGACAGGTGTGTAGTTTACCACAAGGCGCACGACTTGTTCGTCCCGTCACTTGATATTATAAGAAAAAAAACGAGAACCTCCTGTTTTGAAGTCGGTTAAAAATATGATATTAAAAATAATGAATTTTACATATGACAGTAATTATTTATTGTAGTTGTTCGTTACAGGACCCTGAAGCACTGAAGATCCGCGTGAACCAAGACACACGCTTGGATAACCGCGTGCTGGACCTGCGAACGCCCGCCAACCAAGCCATATTCAGAATTGAAGCTGGTGTCTGTCGCTTATTCAGAGACATTCTTACAAAGAAAGGTGGGATTTTGGTCTTTGTTCACATTTGCATTTAATCTACATCCCATTTTGTAAGTTCATGCTTCGGATTGTACAGTCTTTTTTAACCGACTTCAAAAAAAGGAGGAGGTTCTCAATTCGGCTGTATGCTTTTTTTGTGTGTATGTTACGCGATAACTCCGGTATTTGTGAACCGTTTTCATGATTCTTTTTTTGTTGGAAAGAGGGTACCTCCATAGTGGTCTCATTCATTTTGAAGAAAATCATCCACCTCTAAGGGTGGCTGATCACGCATGAACATTCCGTTTTTCTCTCAATATGCTTTGAGTGGTGAGAACCGATTTTTATTATCTCCAGTGTCAAGTCCTGTATAGTGCGCAACTAGGGGATATTTCAATAAAACTTGGCAAATAGATGTAATTCCACGTACTTTTGAGGTCAGTTTTTTAGTACTCTGTACTGATATTATTATTATTAAGAAATAAAAACAGCCCATTTAAATACATCTTACAAAGAACATTATTTGTCTTAAATAACTTAGGCCAAAATCGTTTCCACAATGACATAAATTATTGAAGCCTTGTGAAAGAGCTCATCCAGGGTAGCACTGCCACCTTACCTATTTCTGCCGCCAAGCAGCATTACTGTGTTCCTGTTTTGAAGGGTAAGGGTTCTGGTAAAATTACAGGCACATGGGACTTGTTAACTTATGTCTCAGGGTGACGGGCGCAGTGGCAGTGCCCCTTAGATCTTAAGCGATTTAAAGCTCTGAGTGGCGCTACAACTGTTATGGATAGACGTGTCGCTTGTCAGCATGCGCACATGTTCGTCCCGTCACTAGATATTATATTAAAAAGAAACTAGATTTATCATGATTATCCCACCGGGTGGAAAAAATTTGTCTATCATCATATCATATCAAATCTAGTTGAAGTGGTTCAGATGTTATTTTATTTTTATTTTTTTTAAATATATTTATTGGTTCACTTACAGTTATTACAATGTTACTTACTAAAATTAAATGTAGGTATAGAATATCTTATCTAATTGCACAACCAATTACAAGTAAACACAGCTTACAAAAACAACATGAATGTAGATAAATTAGAACTTAAAAAAAAAGCTATTTAATCCAGTTTAAAAAAAAAGAGAAAAGTAAAATACAAACAAAAAAGTAATAGTAAGTACAAGCGAACAAGGGTCTCGGCATTATTGGTTAAACAGAAAAAATAAATAAAATTAATTAAGCTTAGATATAATACTATTACGAAAATTGTTCAGCGACTGCCAAAATATATCGCTTACCTGACTGTGCTTATTATATAGTCTACAGAGCCTTGGGACACAGGAATTAAAGCCCAGAACGGTCTTGCGGAACGGAGGCACTAAGTGTGTAACTGCAAACCTGGGATATTTTGAGGGAATTTTGAAGTTAAATTTAGCGAGTTATGTATGAGTATGTTAAAATGAGGCAGCGGACTTTGTTCCTTTCGTTCTGAAGAGTTTACCCATAAAACTAACAAATCTACTGTCGGTACTATCTGAATTTTGGCAATTTTACAGGATGAAGAAAAACATTGTTTGCGTCATTTATATAAGTCATCGGATTTGTTAAGTAAAAATATGTAGTTTTTGAATTTTTTATTACACATACACTACGTATTTAAATAACCAGATGCTATTTAAATGACGCAAAAAATTTTTTTTTCACCTGTATAATTGTCAAAATTGAGATAGTACCGACTGCCAGTTCACAGTCGAAATGTAATTTTGGAAAAATTTTGGCGACACTCACCTTTAACTCCCGTAGAGCTGCGTACTATATATATATATATATATATATTATATGGACAACAAAACAGATACGAATCAAATTACATTGATACAAATTAAATATGGTATAATAAAGTTCTGTACTAGATTGTAATCCTACTTATGTTGACACATCATTCTAAAGTAACAAGAAAGAACTACTGTTCAAATTGCTGATAATTTACTTAATACTAAAGCGTCAAGGGAGTGGGGGAAAATCTATACAAGTGCAAGTTGCTTTTCTCCTCGTTTAAACGCTCTGGATCTTGGATCAAAAATATCCAAATCGATCTTTTTCATAGATATCTCGTTGTAAATAATAACGTAATAATAACGCACACACTCAACATAGCCCCGCACTAGGGAAACCCTGTGTCGCGGGTGCCATGGACACACACATAGACAAATATTTCACCCGGCCCGGGAATCGAACCTGGGTCCTCTGTATGGCAGTCCGGCAAGGTAACCGTTTGGCCACGGAGGCAGTTATAAGGCAGTAAAGCCGACACTTTCTTACAAGGAGGTTGTAAAAGCAAGTATTATTCCTGTATGTCCGCAAGTAAAACAACTTGTTGGGTATTCGGATACGAGATAAACCCTTGATTGCAACGAATGAATCTTATAAATAATTACTGACAAGCGGTTTTACATTTTCAGCAGAAGTTTCGTATTTTCGTATAAACTTTTCGTCTCAATGACAGTTTATACTTCTTTTTGGGCATAGCCAAACACGAAAGGAGGTCGGAGAATGCCCCCCAATCTTTTCCCAAAAATACCCTTAATGGTTTCATGGGTTACTTATCATATTTTCATAACCTCGAAAGTAATTTTGAGAGGAAAATTATTTCAAACCTAACCTTACCGAACTTAATCGTGTCTTTGGGATAAACATTCCACATATCCTGAAAGAACAACTGTTTCGTTATAATTCGGTTTTCGGTGTAATGAAAATTCGAACAAACGTTACTTCGGACAAAAAATCTTCGACTTTGTGATAGGTTACCGGTTTCATGGGATCAAACACTAGTATTTCAGAAAAAATGTCAATAACACTCGTTACAATGATTAATTAGCATTTTACTGTATTGTCTAGGTTTCGTAGAAATACACACGCCTAAGATAATCTCCGCGGCGTCGGAAGGTGGCGCTAACGTCTTCACGGTGTCGTACTTCAAGAGCTCAGCTTATTTGGCTCAAAGTCCGCAGCTGTACAAACAGATGGCTATCGCTGCTGATTTTGATAAGGTGAGATAGATAGTTGGTTAGATAAACTTATTAAACTATTTTTCCGGATTTAAATCGCGTATATTTGTTTTTTCAAACAAACCGACGTTTCGGGCCCTTTACAGGTCCCATGGTCACGGTTGTTTGAAAAAACAAATATACGCGATTTAAATCCGGAAAAATAGTTTCATTTCCTATGTGTAACAATCGCGAAAACCTAAGAACTCAATATTTAATTTCTATTAATATGCGGCCGATAGATGGCGTTAGTTGTATTCTAAAACGCTCTTGTAGTCTGTCTTTTTTGAAGACGGAGTAAAATGACATTTGTAGGGTTGCCAGTTTTCATAATATTTATTTAAAATTTTTATATAAAAAAAAAATTTATTTAAATAGTTATGTAGTTTTTGTCCATAGTTTTATCGATAGATTGTGAAAGAATGCCAAAAATGTCTGAATTGTGAATGTTACGACGTTCTAAGGATTACTAATTGCGTTATTGCCATTGACTTACAATTATATGGACGTCGGGTCCGCGCTAAAAAGTGTCCGCACTTGTAAGGCGCTAAAATCGTATACAGAGCGCGACACTCCGCTTTAGTCTTCATTTGTTCTACGGACAGCGCGATACTGCGATGACATTACAATTTAAATTTCGAATAGGTTGACTTGGGACATTTTTTTCGTGGTTTTTGTATTAGACCCGTCGTCTATTTATTTGTAAGTCAATGGTTATTGCCTTCATTTTTATTTTGCCAGTTGGCCTACTACTAGCACCGACATCAACTTTTATTCATATACATTTGAACAAGAATAGCCAGATTTAATTATCGATATTGATTTAAAATGAAAACCTTTAAAATATGTCTCCTCTTTTTATTTTTCATAAACATAGTTCTAATACAGTGTATGTATGTATGAACTTACAAAAATTGGCAATTCAAATGAACTTGTGCTCAGTAATTGGATGAGTAATGGGTCGAGGGTAATTCAAATGAAACGAGTTCGGCTATTTATTCCATCAGCGTGACCAATATTCAATCGATAGGATATTTATCGACTGCAATCACTAGCTGCTCGCAAGGGGGCAACACTTTCGCATAATGAACTGTCATTTTACTCTGTCTTCGAAAAAGACAGATTATAGACACTTGTAGAAGCGTTGTAGCCGCTTCACGACTAATTTTCCAACAATATTTTTCCAACAATATTTATTCGAACAGCATCGTTAAACTGTATTTCAAAAATTGTAGTCCAAAAGTGAGGTTATGTTTCATCTATACATCTACGACTTGTCTATGGTTGCATAGTGCTGTACAAAAAATAACATTCGTTTCATTCAATTAAAGTTTTTGTAATTGATTAGTAAATCGAATATTTCAATCGCAATCGAACGAGTAACCAAGTTTAAGGATTTGAAGGAGGACTCAAAATTAAGATTTCGGAACTTTTAAATATGCTTAATTATATTATATATAAACATGACTCAATTAAGCAAATCGATTCATTCAATTAATTAATCGATTTGTAGTTGGCATTATATTTGGCCATTACTAAACCGTCTATTGTCGGGTCATGACTTGTTTGTTTATATTTTGTTGGAAATGGATTGAAACGAAGTATAGTTAACTTACTTGGTATATTGTTATTAATTCGAAGATTGCCAAGAGATATTAAGAAAATAGATGTACTGTATAATGTATTATTCCTAATTCCAGGTGTTCACGGTAGGAGCCGTGTTCCGTGCAGAAGATTCCAACACTCATCGACATCTCACCGAGTTCGTGGGCCTCGACTTGGAAATGTCTTTCAAGCACCATTACCATGAAGTAGTCGACACTATCGCTTCTACTTTTACTGATATATTTCGAGGGCTACGTGATGAGTGAGTTTTTTTTTATTTATTTTATCTACACACGTATCATGAACTCTCTATAATATGTTCAAAAACCGCAAATTACGACCAGCATAAAGGTAAACTGTTTGTTAGAACAAATTTCTTACCTGTGAAAATGTTATTGTAATTTCGAACATCTCTGAAAAACAAAACAATTTGATTCGACCTCAATTCTAATATCAGTCGAGATGAAGCTTTATTCGAAACGAAATGTCAATAGCAAACAATTTTGACAATTTCACACGTTACTTGATATCGAATGATATGATAGTTGGGGACCGATTCTAGTTTGTCTATGAATTAAAATAAAAACTACGGTTGTGTGATATGCGTGAGAAAAGTTTTTTCTTTCCTGAACACATCACAGAGAGCTTATAATATGTGTGTAGATAAAGCAGTGTATGTAACTGTAGATAATTAGGCATTAAAACACTCGTGTGATGTTTTTATAACCCACACTCGTATTTTAATGCCTTTCGTTAATTAACTGTCACATAAACTACTATATTCATATTGTACAACCCGCACTAATAGTAACAATAACTGAACATCTAACCCATAAGTGTTCGGTCTTTGTATTAATAATTATAACAAACTAGTGGAGTAATTTTACAAAAAATAATTGCATATCATAGTGATGAAACTTCTAGACATTCAATAAAAACTTGAAAGTTCAAATGAAGTCAAGAAATAACAATAAGAAAACCAATCTTTCGACCTTGCTGCAGCTCCAATCCAACCTTGTATATTCTGGACTCATTGGGAAAATTTAAATACTATAGTTCTTTTTATTAAAAAAATAAGTGCGCATTTGACCTCCGTCTCACCTGATGGAAAGTGATGACAAGGTCGACGATGTAGCATGCACAACTAAATAATGCCTATTCACTCTCGTCTTGAAAAGATCCAAGTTATAGCGTTCGGGGAATAAGTCCGCAGGTAAAGAATTCCACTCCCTAGCCGCCGTATAAATGTGGAAGCGAACCGCTTCGTGCGAATCTTGGGAATATCCACAACATAGGGGTGGAATCCCAGCCCACGTCTAGTCCCCCGTTGATGGAAATCAAATTATGTAATTCTATCGCACACTCTCCGTGATATATCCTGTAGAAAACCGATAAGCAAGCAACTTTGCGACTGTGTTCAAGGCTCTGCAGCTTCGCCTTTACTAATTTCGAGTCACCTATAAGCCTCTTGGCACGCTTGTCGATTGAACCCAAGGTGGCCAGTGGCAGCAGTACTCCATGCACGACCGGACTTGTGCTTGGTACAACTGAAGCAACTGTCCCGGTGTGAAGTAATAGTATTAGTAACAAAGATCGAATACTTGGAGAAATACACTCGATCCGGCTGGCTTCGAACCAGCACCCACATGCAATCCGTGCCAGATGCTCTGCCAATTAAGCCACGGAACGAAGCAGCAGAATTTAGGAATCTTTCTTTTGTGCTGCTTGCAGATCATTGTTTACGGTTTTTAACGACTTTTTTCCGTAGCGCCATCTGCAGAAGTCCCATCTAACTGGGTGACGAAATATCATAGATTTCTCATAGATGGCGCTACGGTTAAAAAGTCGTTGAAAAATTGAATACAAAGACAGGACAACAACCACATAGAAAAAATTGTAAGGGCCGCGGGTTCGTTCCGTGGCTTAGTTGGTATAGCGTCTGCCACGGTATGCTAGAAGACGTCGGTTCGAATCCGGCCGGATCGAAGGAATTTTTTATGAGTGTTCGAACTTTGTACTAATCATTATAACAAATGCTTTAACTTTAAATTTTAAAATTGTACAAATAAAGCCTTGTTTTTTGCACAATAAGGTTTACATCAGAAATCGCCACAGTGGGCCAACAGTACAGCGTTGAGCCGTTCAAGTTTCTCGACCCGCCGCTGAAGTTGGAGTTCCCTCAAGCAATACAGATGCTGAAGGAAGCTGGTACGTGTACATATAACTAAGTTTTTAGTGAAAATTGTACTTAATGTTAAAAAAAATTCAATATTAATATCGTCTGCTTAAAGGTAAAAACCACATAAGTAGCAGTAGAGGTCCTTGTGAAAGAGTTCGTCCAGGGAAGTACTGCCATCTTACTTATTTCTGCTGCCAAGCAATAATGTTAGCATTACTGCGTTCTGGTTTTGAAGGGTAAGGGTGACGCGCGCAGTGGCAGTGCCCCTCAGAAGCTCTTATGTTCTTAACAGTTACCAGTGCAACTGTTAAGAACAGGCGTGTAGCTTACCATCAGGCGCACGACTTGCTCGTCCCTTCACTTGATATTATAATAATCTCAGTACAGAGTACTAAAAAACCGACCTCAAAAGTACGTGGAATTACGTCTATTGAAATATCCCCTAGTTCGCCACTATACAGGACTTATACTGGAGATAATAAAGATAGGTTCTCACTACGACACTACTCAAAGTATATCGAGGGAAAAACGCCTTGAATTGGAGAAATAGCAAAATCAACAAAATAATTGCTAAAAGCAATTGCTCCTAAATTAAAGTTAAGCGCTATTTATAAAAATTAATCTTCATGCGTGAACAGCCACCCTTAGAGGTGGATGATTTCCTTCAAAATGAAATGGGACCACTATGGAAGTACCCCTTTTCCAACAAAAAAAGAATCATGAAAATCGGTTCACAAATACCGGAGTTATCGCGTAACATACATACAAAAAAAAAAGGAGAACATACAGTCGAATTGAGAACCTCCTCCTTTTTTGAAGTCGGTTAAAAAAAGTGACATTTTCCACAAAAATCTCCAAATTACGTATCAGTTGTAAGAAATTCACCATCTTTCTCCAGATAAAACTCTTATTAAGTTTATAGCTTTTTTGTTATTGAGTCTTACGTGCAGAAAGATAGTTATTTTCTTACCATAGCTATATAAATTAAAGACTTATTGTGGAAAATGTCACTTACGTGGTTTTACATTTAAACAGACGATTGCCTTTTATGTTATAAAAATATGATATTATAATTATGTAATTTAATAAAATAAATGCATAATAATAATATCACGGAGTGAATAAACGCAATTATTAAGAAGATCTTATTAACAAATGTTATTATTATTATACAATTCTAGAATAATTTGAAAATTAATTGATAATTAATTAATTTTTGTTTGATTAATTATTAATAATTAAATGATTTATTTTTTTAAAACTTACTAATTCAATTTGACAGTCATTTTAAAATTAAATCAAATAGTATATCTTAAAACTGACTTGTTTGTTGCTTACCAACTACTATATGTATAAGGCCTAAATGCAACAACATGTTGTGCAATAAATGATGTTATTATTATTATTAAGTGAATTAATGCCAAGGCAATAACCAATTCGTTACAATTAACCTGGAAACTGTTAGATTGGTTTACTTTAACTTTTGACTGTAAATGACAAAACATTTATATACTCTACTTTTCCTGGTACCTATTATAGCGTAGTTATTTTCGATTTTGGGTGATAGTGATGTGTCTGTTACGCACTAACTATTAACCTTTTGAACGACACTGACAAAAACTAGTGTCGTTCCATAGACGCCAAGCCTATATAGTGATGTGACAGGTTATGAATTTCCACGTTATATTAATTGAATTCTCCAAGTCAAAGAAGAACATAACCTAAATACTTATTTAGCTGGAATTTACAAATAACACAAGGAATATCTTAATATTTATTAATTTCAATGGAAAATTAAAGTGTTCCATTGACGTTTTAAGGCATCATTGACGTATCACCCAAGTTAACCTAAGACGCTTTAAACATCCTCGGCGGTCAAAGGGTTAAGATTCTACACAACTTCAAATGGCTTTGGTTGATTCAGCATAACAGTGAAAGTGTTGAATCTATCACTTGATATAGGACAGTAAATAACTGCCGTAAGGTAAATAGACCTTAATAGCAAAGAAATAAAAGAAACCGTTGCCGTTAAACCGTTCATGTCAATTAATATGCAAGCACAAAATGTCGTAAATTAAACCAAATTTGTAACTAATTCGTGCAGAAAATAAACAATTAAAGAGCACATCGACCCCTCCTACGTAAAGTATCGTATGTCGAAATTGCCAAGTTTACAGGGGAGCGTTTTCAAGTTCTGAATTCACTGAAAGAGTGATCACCATAGATCATTTAACCGATATCTAGGATTTTATAATTAGTGAGCTTTGCCGAATAAAACTGAGAAATGCTAAAGTCACGTGTTATGTTCGTTTCAATGAATTCAGAACTTTAAAACGCTTCCCTGTAAACTTGGCAATTTCGACATACGATACTTTACGTCGGAGGGGTCGACATAATACCCTATCAGAGGCATATCTAGAAGGCTAACTATGTATATATATGGTTATGAGAGATAATAAAATATTAATTAAATTAGTATATATGTAAATACAATATAAATAAATAAAATATGACCAGTTACTCCAGTGGTTCTCGGCAATCCATTGAACAGCAGATGACCTATATAACGAGAGAAACCCGACTTCAAAGAGACCTTTAGGTTAAGACTTTTAAGTCTAGATGGGGTACCTATCTGATAAAAAAAAAATAGTAAAATTGAGGATATATACTGATTACTACACGGTTCCTAAAAAATTTCACCATAGAAAAAAACAACGAACTTACCTCGAAATTTCCAAAAAAAAACCGCTGTGTTCAAAAAGGTATATTACATATACCAATGATTTTTTTAATTTCAACTGAACTAAATAGAACATGTATAAATACGATATACATTTTTCAAATAGCTTTAAGTTCCGTTTGTAAAAAAAATTAATTCTGAAATAAAGCCAGTGTCCCTACCGCTCGACCAAAGAAAAATGAACCGTATTAGTACGGAGCTGAGGTAGTATCAAGTCTTAAGCAATCTGTGTCCACAGGCGTAACGCTGGGCGAAGAGGACGATTTATCGACTCCCGACGAGAAGTTACTAGGGCGGTTAGTGAAGGCTAAATACGATACCGACTTCTACATTTTGGACAAATACCCGTTGGCTGTTAGGCCTTTCTATACAATGCCCGACCCGAACAATCCGGTGAGTGAAATTGTTCAAGTATTTTTTTTAATAGTAATTATAACTTAATTTAAATTTGTATTGAATTGATATTCAATTGTTTTTTGTTACTCCATTAGTTTTGTTATAATTATTAATATAAAGATCCTTCCATCCGGCCGGATTAGGACCGACGTCTTCTAGCAAATCGTGCTAGACGCTACGACAACTAAGCCACGGAACGAACCTGCGGACTTCACGAATTTTTCTGTGTACTTGTTGTTGGATCTTTGTATTTGGTTTTTCAACGACTTTTTAGCCGTAGCGCCATCTATGATGAACTGAAGATAAAGTCGAAACTGAGACTACATGCAGTTAATGTGGAAGTCTTTATCAACTTCATGCAGTCGAGATCTCGACTGAAAACATGCATTCACTTTGTTGACACATGGGACTTGATCATCATGACTTCATGACTTTGTCATATCTCAGGGTGAGGGGCGCGGTAGCAGTGCCCCTCACATCTTTGCCTTTTAAAGCTTTGAGCGGGACTGCAACTGTTATGGACAGGCGTGTCGCTTGCCATCATTGTCAAATGTATTAAATGTATAATTTCAATGTTCCTAGAAAGTGTCCAACTCATACGACATGTTTATGCGAGGCGAAGAGATCTTAAGTGGCGCGCAGCGCATACACGACCCCGACTTCTTGATCGAGCGAGCGAAATATCATGCCATCGGTGAGTCATTGAACTGGGACTATATCAATATTTTTATTTATTTATTTAATTTATTTAAAGGAATATCAGCAGCTTAAAACTAAATTAAATAATAATAATAACAACTGAGAGCTAATTAAAGATCCTCACAAATAAAAACATAATGAGGAATCTGGTTGCACAATTCACCCAACTTATTATATAAAACATAAAAAAAAAAACCACAGAAGTTGTAAGCGTCACTAAGAGTCAAAGAAGTGCTCACTCAGTGCTCTCATTGCCGAAATCACACTCGCATTAAAAAGGTCACGATCAAAAGTATTACATAAAATCATTGACTTACAATTATATGGACGTCGGGTCCGCGCTAAAAAGTGTCCGA